TCTTCATATTACTCTGAATTCTTCCTCTAGGAACTCAATCTTCTCAATCTTTGTCTTTGGCACAAAACCCTTCTCCCCTGCTCTTTTCCATATTTTCTCCCAAGATAGAGGTAACGAGGCTTCAAGTTACCTGACTCTAATTGCTAGGTTCTTACTTCATACGCATGTAGATGATTTCACCACAATATTCTTTCCATGGAGAGGATGTGCATTACCAGATGAACAAGGGCGCAAGGAGGTAGGACCAAAGCCTCACTGAAACCCTCTGCCCCTTTTCCCTTTTGATCAAATCCCACAGTTTAGTTGTGGTCAGCTCACTTCCGTGCTCACAGTGGAACTACTCTGCAATTTCAAACTCTTCCTATTGTTTCTGTTACCACATAGTCTTAGTGATCGCTGCATAGTGTCCTGAATTTAAGGACATCCCAGATTCTGTACCTACTAACCTACTCTGATGACTTTCCTATCTGCTTAATTCCATCCATTCAAAAACAAGCAATATATGTGTTTGAAGACCAGTGCTTTGCCCTGCAAATTCAGGTAAATTTGGCATCTGTTCCTGAATACATCTATTTATATATTGGTTGTGTGTGTGTATCCAGCTGCTAAAAACACCAAGGTAAGCTGTTGTTTCAGAGACATGTCCTATTTATATTCTGAAGCTTATTTTACCACTTTGCACACTGCATCAGAAGCTGGAGGGTGAAACCCCAGCTGACACCATGCTGTCTTTCACCCTGACCAAAACCAGCATAAAACAACACATAAATAGTCAATAATATTATGATAAGTTTGCACGGTGACAGACGATTACTAGAATTAGTGGGGTGATCCCATTGTAAGGTATAAAAATGTTGAATCACTACATTGTACACTGGAAACTAATAAAAACAATATAAGATTATATACCAAATATATTTAAGTACAAAAAAAGAAAAAAACAACAACATAAAACTGGACTCTTTGAAAAGTCCTTGTAGATCACCTCTCTGGTGGTGCCCAAAATTTAGTCACACACATTCTACCTGCCGTAACATTTACTTATTTTTTTAAAGTGAATGCTTTTCTTAAATTTTAAAAGGCAACTCTGTTCTAACTACTATAAAATGGAAAATCAACATTTCTTGTCATAAAGAAAGTAACCAAGAATATAATAAAAACAGCACAAAGTTTTATCTAGAAACTATTATATACTAAGAAACTCTGAATTCAAGGTTTATGTTTGTTTAAAAAGTAGAATTAACACTGAAGTAACACTAGGAAACTCCAAAACTAGCATCGACAAGACTTTACCTTAATCAAGATGGCAGAGTTGAAAGGGAATGGCTGTTACTCTGTCATACAATATGCCACTTAAAATTATCTCAGAGGACACCACTGGTATTCTTTGGGAAACACTGACATAGTCCAATACTTTCTTCTATTGTTGAAGAAAATACAACTCAGAGAAATGAAGTGAATTGCTTAGGAACGACACAGCCAAACAGAGAATACTTTTTAGACCCTTAATTAATTGCTTTTTCGAGTACGCAGTTCTAATTTGAAAAAAAAGTGACATTTAAAAGTTTATTTTAGTCGCCTTGTTATGACTGTTTACTATTATTGATTCAATCTACATCATTAATGACTTGTGCAATAATTTAGCTCAGAATTTCTCTCATGTTAAGATTATCTCTAAGAAGAAAAGAATAACTTATTGCTTATTATAAAATATAAAGTAATATTTATAAACAAATATTTCACATTTCATTGATTGTGTTCTTTTGAATCCTTCATTTGATTATGTTCATTTTGGTTGTGTTTTTTTGTGTTGGCTCAAGAGCGTTGTCTAGAATAATCATGGTTTTCTTGTTAAAAGGGAAGATGGGGCCTTATTGTAAGATCTGATAATACACAAAAATGTGTAAAATTTGAGTATATTCAAGCACTTTTTTTACTGAGATTAATAATTATAATAAATGAAGAGGATTGAGTCTAAAGAAGTAATTTTATTGAATAGAATAGGCATGAAACAAGATAATGTGTTCTGTGTCATGCTAGTTGGCATAGATTTCTAAAATGGAAACACCATGACAACAAATATTAATTTTCATATAAAAATGTCTTGCCTTTGATCAAAAGATGCTGTGCTCAGAGCCCGAAGTTTGTGTTTTGCTTATCTATGCCTACATATATTTGTATATATGTATTTATGATAGAATAATATCTTGATATAATTAATGATTATGCTTTTTTGGGAATACTTCCTGTTGTTCTGTAACCCTTCTCCCTGTTAACAGGTATTGTTTTCTATAAAACTGCTTCAGGTAAGGAATGAAACAGCTGTTTGCAGACAGTAAGACAGTCAGGTTCTTGGCTTTTGGATCTCAAAAGGGCTAGATCGGGCTATAAACAATGAATTCTTAAAAATCATTTGAAGAGTCAAAGTAATTTATCACCAGACTGAATTGACAGCCTCCTGAATGAAGGGAGAATGAGTAAGTCACAAAAGATGGAGATTTAGACAATGAAGAATTCCTGAGAATGGGCCCAAGTACCTATTTTATGTCTCGAAGAGAAGTCCCAGTGCAGAGAAGGGCTGACCGCCGAAACCTCCAGGTAAATCTGGGGCATCTGAGAGCAGAGAGAAACAGGTACCCTCATCCTCTTCCCAGGAAAGGCTAACAAAGTATCAGAACTCAGGAAGAAATGGTTTCCTGAGGGATTCCAAAGACAGATTGAGGGCACTTCAGTGTGCCCCTGAGCATGGCACAAGAAGAAGCAAAATGTTTTCCACTGCCTAGGGGCAGCAGGCATGTGATGTAGGGGATGGACAGAGTGCGGGGTCTCATGTCAGGATTAGGGGGATGCAGTGATATTCTGCCACAAGCAATGACTGAAAGACCAGGAGAAATAAAGGCATCTTGACAGATGTCAGTATGGGTGGAGAATGACAGGGACTCCACTGCCATTTAACCGGAAGACTTGTTATGATATCAGTACTCACATCATAACTGAGACATATAACTGGAGTGAGAAGGGAGGATAGCGATATCCTGAATTAAATAAGTGTGTTTACGCTTTCTAGAAAAACAGATGTTTTATGTAATTGAGAAAAAAATCCACTTGTTTTTTATTCCAGATTGGAAACTGTACCTACTATAGATACATATAATTTGAGATTATATACCTAGATGGTAGATAATACACTATGCTACTGTGTCCCATAGAAATAAAAAAAAAAAAAAAAAATAAGGGTTTAGATATACCGTTCGTGTGACTTTTACTTTAGGATTTCCAACAGAATTGACTATGATTGCACCAAGTGGATTGGAGTAGTTTAGTAAATATATTTGAACTTGCTGTGAATAAAAATGAGGTACTACAAAATGGTGGTGAAGGGCAAGATCTATTAAAAGACTGGCCAAGATGCAAAATCAGATATTAGAGTTCTTTAAAGCAAAGTAATGACGGACAATACCTGTGATCATAGAGTCATGGCAAAGAAACTCATCATTTTTGAGAGGTACACACTGTTTAAGCAGAATCAATGCAAGCTAGTCACATATAGCTCGTCACCAATACTCAAAATCCTGAGTTCTGCCTAATTATGCAGGCTATATCTCTCTGACCTTCACGTGGGAGGACAAGGCTCTCTTTTTCTAGATCAAAAGGGTGATCGCATGTAAGCTGATACAAAATCCTTTTACATCATTGATTTCTCTCAGTCAGTTTAGGCTTAGTTATGCTGCAGTAACAAGGACACAGAATTTTAATGGCTTACAAAAGCAACTTGCTGATATGGCAGAGGGGAAGAGAAAAAATGGCAGAATTAATAAGCAAGGCCTCTTAAAGTTTCTGCTGGGAAGTGGCACTTTGACTCACACTTCGTTGGTCAAAGCCAACTGGGTGATTCCTGACGTGGGCAAGGCAGCGAAAATTTCCTTCAGCGAAGGGTAGTTAGCAAATATCTTTTATAGTAATACATTTTATCTCTTATCACAAGTGGATTTCTTCAGCACCCACCTATAAAATTATTGTAATAAGAAGGTGGCTCGATTTATAAATTAGAACGTTAACTAGTGAGAAAAGAAATATCGACTTTGATTAACTATCACATTAAGGAAGCCTATAACAGCATTTGATATGTAGAAGTTTTTAATAAAAGTATGCAGAATCATTACTATGCATGAATTATTATAAATTAAAAACCGTCAAGGAAAAGTTAAAATGTCAGTTCTGTTCTTCCAATCAATCTCAGCCTCTCACATCACATTTGGTTCCCTGGGCTGATGTTAATAGGGAGAAAGTTGCTGGTATGGTTTTGAGGCTAGGACTTTAGAATTTTTTTTTACATAGGTAACCTGCCACCAGCTGAATGGTGGTACTTTGAAAGTGACTACAAAGGCATCCTAACAATACCCAAAAATGATCCCTAAAGGTATTGTTAGCTGTATTTAAAAAAATAAAATGTGAGAAAATGTGCAGCTAAGCTTTCACTATATTTTAATGCTATTACGTAATTTAGACCAATATTTACAGCAATATAAAGGTATTATTCTATATCTTGTCAATCATTGTTGAATTGATACCTGCTTTACTAACAGATTTGAGTAACCTACTTATTTTACTATAAGTATTTGGTGATTTCAGGAAATGTTTATATAGTTTTAATATCTGAACATTTTAAGTAAATAAGAGAGATTCAGGTAGATAAGAGACACCTGTTGTTTTATGCTCCCCATTCATCTAGTTATATTGTAACCAGAATTTCTTTGGAGGTCTACTCCTTCCATACATTCAGGGAATATGGTTTGTGTGGTTCTACATTTACATCCAACTCCAGGAAGAGCCATATGCCCCATCCTGGACAGCCCGAGCATTGCACTCCCTTGGGTACCCATTACTGATTTAGGAACAAGCACATGATCCAAGTCATGCTGCTGGGGTTTAATACCACAATTTTTATTGGAACCACTGAGGACAGATTGTTTCTTTTTTTCTTCTAATGTGAATTAAAGAATGAGATGGAAACTTCGGAGGCATCGTGACACAACTATGGAAGAGAATGAAACCCACACAAGGGAAAACAGAGCTCAAAAATGGAAAGAGTAAGTGAAGTTTCAGTTCTGTCATTTGAGTGCCTGGATCCAGAAATGTGTGAAGCATATTACCCCCTGGAATTTTGAGTTGTGTTAGCCAATCATTACCATCCCTGCCCCAATCTTTTTAAAAGTCTGCTTGATTAAGCGTTCTTTCGCTTGCAACTAAAGTTGTTACTAGTACAGTTGTCCGGGTGGTCAACATAGTTTATTCTTCCCTTAGTGGTATATGATAATGATCCAGGAAGGGATGCTGGGTATCGTTCCATAAATCACAAAAGCAGTACAAAGCCACAGTTTGCGGACACCTTGCTGTTTGTCAGGCATTAATGGTGGGAGATTATAAAACCATGTCGGCATGGATTTTGTCTCATCTTTATCTCGTTATTTTATATTCATTTACTCTTGTGCCTCATTATCTGAGAGTTTCCTATTTCTGTATCCTCAAATCTAACACTCTCCTTGGCACAATTAGGTATGTAGTAAATGGTTGAACAAGGAATGAATGAATATTCCTTATTAAAACTGTTGTCTAGAATAGTACATCATGTGATTCAAGTTGAACCCTTTTATTTCAATCACTTTTTGTAGCATGAGCCTTTGACTTCTTACATGTATATGAAAAAGTAACACTATTCAGAAAACTTTCCAAATGCCAACTGTTGAATGACTTAAATACATGGAAGTAAGGAAATACCAGACAGAAGAAATAGCTTGAGTAAAAATAAATAGATTAGATAGATAGATAGATAGATAGATAGATAGATAGATACATAGTATGAGCATACTCAGAGGCTTATGTTTCACGTTCTAGAATCACTCATTATAGATTTTAAAGCAGTGTTATTTTTCCTTTTTAAAATATTACTTAAAAATATCTTTTTCATAGTTGTCAGTAACTGCGAAGAATCTCAAATTTCACCCTACGTGCCAGCTAACAAGGTGACCCTGCCACCATTTCATGAATTCTGGCAGAAGACATGGGTACAGCAAGCAGCATAAACATCATCATGCCATTGTCGCTTTCCCTTGTCCCATAACTCATGAAATGGGGGGCAACATAGATGAACCCAGGTGGATGTCTACAGATGCAGTTGCTTATGTTGCAGGAGAGAAACCCTGAGCTTAGGGAACCTAAATATTCTTTTAATAGGCAGTTATTTGCCTGTCCTTAGCCCTGGAGGGAGATACTGTTATTATACCAGGTAGTAAGCATAGCTGCCCTCTTCTCTGAAGGGAGATACTATCTCTATTTCCTAAATCTGTCCACTGTATAAACATCCCTGAGTATTAATAGAGTTTGAAACAAAAGGCAGTTAGTGCCTCGCTCACGTGACACGCAGAAACCCATGCGAACTGTCTTCCACTATGAGTAACAGAAGACCTGAATTAAAATAGTAAAGTCTGACTTTATTAAACTTTGCATATTTAATTTCATCTCAAATAGAACTCCTACCATATCAGAAAGAGAAGCTGTATAAAGTCAATCGGACTCTGGAGTTTTCTGAGGAATTAAAAGCAAAAACCATATTGTCTTATTGATAATTATTTTTCAAAGAATGTTAGATTCTTTTGGCTTTGGTTTCACTGGGTTAGGCTTTGATACATTTCTCCCGGGGTTTGTTTGGAGATGACGTAGGGAGGAAACACATCCACATTTTGGCTGGACTGTTAACTTGATACCCAGGTAGAATTTATGAAAAAAGGGTAAAAGAGTTCATGGAAAGAAAGATGTTTAGCTGAGAAATGAGTTGTTAAGAGGACTGGAAATGCAGCTCTGTACCTTTAGGAGCGGAAAATTAACCCTAAGCATATTGGCATGAATGGAGCAAATTTTAGTCACCCGATCCTTAAACATGGTTTTAATCAACTGTTGAAGTGCTAAGTCAACATTTCATTTCTATTAGCATTCTGAAATACCCAACACAAATACGTGTATAGTCAGAGAAGGATCAGGCACTTTCAACTTACTGATAAGTTTACCTGCATATGCCTCATTCATAAATAAGGCAAATAGAGAGAGCAAAATCATTTAAGTCTCTGTGACTTAAATCACAGAAACAACTCTAATATAATCTCAACAAAAATAAAGCTAAATTGGTTCTATGGATTTTCTTTCTACCTAATTTTTAAAAATTTTTACCTTTATTGTTAAAAGTATAAAGAATTGGGAGAGACGGAATATATTTAAAACCTTATTTAAAAAACAAATGAACATGGTTAATGCACACAGATGCTATTTTTTTTTTTTGCTTTCATTGTAAATATCAATAACAATATTGGTTATTCCATATCTCCAAGTTCTGTAATTCTAGAGGGTATTAGATATCCAGTGATTCCATTTTTCCAGGTCTGAATGTATTATAAAAACATTATTTTAAAATGAAAATCTGGGTAAGTCCCCTTTCAAGTCTTTTCAGAGACTTTTCACCATCTGGTCTTCCTTGGATGTCACTGCCTCCCCTCTCTAACTCCAGTCCCTCCTCCCATTTAGATGCTTTTGAGTAAAGAAGTGATATGATCTGACTTTGACTGAAATATAGAAAATATAAACAGTCAGTTGTGGAAGCGGGAAGTTAGCAGACTATTGCAGTAACTCTGGCAAGAGATAATGGCAGCAGGGGGTTGGAGAGCAAGTGGTTACAATGTTGAAAGGTGGTCGGATGCTGGATATTATTTTTAAGATGGAAGCAATTTCTGACAAATTGGATGTAAAACATGAAAGACATAGATTTTTTTCTTTTCCTGAGTAACTGGAAGAATGAAATTGCCACTTACTGAGACAGGAAAGACTATAGGAGGACAGGGTTAGAAAAAAATCAGAAGCTCAAAGTTAGTATTTGTCTAATAGAGATACTTATTAGACATCCAACAGGGAAAGTGAGTAACTATTTGGAGTTCAGGAGAAAAGTCTTGGGCTAGAGATAAATACTGTGAGAGTCATCAGCATACAGATGGTATTTAAAACCATGAAACGGGTCCTGGGCCATAACAATGACCAGAGGGCAGGGAGAAGAGGAGACATGGCCAAAGACTACATATGTTCCCCATACACAAGAGAAGGAGAGGCCAGTAGAATTGGAGGGACATCTACAAAAAGAGCACCAGGAGCAAAAAAACTTTAAGAATGAACATGGGATCTGTGATGTCAAATGCTGCTGCTGATCGATTTAGTAAGAAAAGGTCTAAAAGAATTGGCCATTGAATACGGCAATGTGGAAATGAGGTGTGTGTGAATCCAGGCATTTTGAGGTCCAAAGTTTATATAATTTGGGGACTCTCTTTAAGAGATAGACTATAAACTAGTATAGTGCCTTGAAAGGGCATTAATGAGGATCACTGAAGCATAAGCTTTATACGTTTCAAGGTCATTTCACCTCTGGTGATCGTCTGATGAATGTGGCAAGTGTTCTCAGGAGTGGTGGAGAAGGCCTGCTGGAGCGGATCAAGAAAAAGCAGTGGGGAAGGAAATGAAGAAACGAAGACATAGAGACAACTGTTTCAAGGAGTTTTCCTATAGGGTGAAGAATAAATGGGGTAATTGCCAGGAGTAATATGGAGGTAAGGGAAGGTTTTCTCTCTCTCTTTTTTTTTTTTAAATTTTCTTGGTTAGGAGATGAAAGTGTATTTGACTACGGATAGGAATGATCTGGAGGGAACAGGTGAAGGGACGATGGTCAATTCTTGGACTAATATCTTTGAATAGATGTACGGGAATGGGGTTCCATTGCAGGGGTGGCGGGGAGGGATGCTTGAGAGAGAAGCGTGGACATTTATCCTGGTAACTGGAGGGAGGCAAATGGTAAGCACACAGGTAGATCTTGTGGTGAGAATGAGTGGAAGTTCTTTGACTGCATCTACTTTTTCATGAAAAAGAAGAGCCATGAGAAGAGAGGGAGGCAGAGCAACGGAGGTGAGCGCTGAAGGCCTGAAGGGAAAGGAGAGGTAGGAAGTGACTCTAGGGGCCTATGACAGGAACGCACTGCAGACACGGTGCAGGGATTCTGCACTGCACTTGAGGTTAGGGCTCATGACCTTAGAGAGAGCTGGTTAACATGACCGTACCCTTCTGTGGTCATTATCTGCTGCCTCAGAGAAGAAAGAGATCAGCAGAGAATGAGATGAACCAAGCATGGGCTTTAGTCAGGCACACATGACGGGGTGGGAGAGGCAATGCCAACCCTGCTCTCCACATTCCAACCAGACTGGACTTTTTCCACTTCTTCACAGTCTCTCATCTCTGATCTTCCTCCATTCCCCTACTCGATACTGCTCCCCACTGTTCCTTTAGCTAATTACTTATCTTAAATACCACTTTCTCAGGGACGTCTTTACTGACCCTCAGATGAGACTGTAATAGGCATCTCGGCCACTCGGACATCTCTCTTCCACAAAAGTCACCCTTCAGTAATTATTTATTTAATCTGTGTCTTTTATATGTGACCCAGAGTTCCCCAAAGCCAGATATACATCTGCCTCAACTACCCATCTTGCCTCTGTGGCTGGCAAACATGGTCACACTCTGTATAGTCGCATGATTCATGTAGTCAATGCAAACGCTGTCATTAGAACCAAACTGTCTGCTTCTTGGGCTCCAGGGCCAAGACCCAGGACAGACAGTGGCAGCCAGTCAGTGAAGCCAGTAAGAATAACCAAGATACAAGTGGCTAACTTCTTTTCTATAATTTTCAAAGACAGATGTGCATGTAGTTCCAATCAAGTTAAGATTTAAACTTAAATCGAGCAAACATTTATTAAGCATTCGTGAGGTGCTAGGACCTATGCTATGTGTTTTCCCCTCTTAATGTTTTTCTTTTTTAAATTTTAATTAAAAAATTTTTTTTCAATTACAGTTGACATATTAGTTTAAGGTGTATAACATAGTGATTAGACATTTATATATAACTTAGGAAATGATCGCCCCAATTATGCTATATTTTTACAATTATTATCTCATTTAATTCTTAAAACAAATATTGCTAGGTGTGCTAAGGCGGTAGGGA